GGGCGACAGAGTGAGACTCCAACTCAAAAAAAATAAAATAAAATAAAGAGTCCTCTCCAGCCTTGCCTTTTGCTACTAACCATCTATAAAAAGCTGGTGTGGAGCTGGGCATGGTGGCTCACACCCATAATCCCAGCACTTTGGAAGCCTGAGATAGGAGGGTCACTTGAGCCCAGGAGTTTGAGACCAGCCTTGGCAGCACAGGGGCACCCCGTCTCTACAAAAAATAATCTAGCTGGGCGTGCTGGCTCATATTTGGAGTCCCAGCTACTTAGGAGGCTGAGGTGGGAGGATCACCTGAGCCCAGAAGGTCGAGGTGGTGGTAAGCTGTGATCATGTCACTGTGGTCTCTAGCCTGGGCTGGAGACCCTGATGCCAATAATAATAATAATAATAATAATTATAATAATAATAATAATAAAACTAGTAATGATAATAATAATAGATGGTGTAGTGGCTCGCGCCTGTAATCCCAGCGCTTGGTTTTGTTTTTTTTGAGTCAGAGTCTCACTCTGTCGCCCAGGCTGGACTGCCATGGCATGCTCATGGCCACCCCAACATTGACCTGCTGGGCTCTGGCAATCCTTCCGTCTCAGCCTTCCAAGTAACTGGAACTGCAGGCGCGCGCCACCATGCTTGGCTAATTTTTTGATTTCTAGTAGAGACGAGGTCTCGAACCCCCGGGCTCAGGCAATCCCCTTGCCTTCACCTCCCAAAGTGCTGGGATGACAGGCGTGAGCCACCACGCCCGGCAATCCCAGCACTCTGGGAGGCCGAGGTGGGAGGATCGTTTGAGGCCAGGAGTTTGAGACCACTCTGGGCAACCTCTTGAGACCCCATCTCTAATAATAATAATAATAGTAATAATAATAAAAGCCGGTGTGTCTGTGCAACCCCCCTGTGGCCTGGCGTTCACCCAGCTCTAAGGGCAGGCACCCATAGGGTCCTCACTGCGGCCAGAGCCCGAGGACTCGAGGGGTGACTCCCGCCCGTCCCGCGCTGTCGGGAGGTGGCAGAGGGGGCTGTTCTGAACTTGTCACCACCTGTGCCCCGTCTCCCACGTCTCCCACGTCTGCTGTGCGTCAGGACGGCGCATTCCCGTTCTCAGTAGCTGGGCGTCGCCCTCGGCCAGCCCTGCCTGGGCCCATCCTGGTGGTGGTGAGGCCGCCCCAGCAGGGGCCGAGTGTGGGACCGCCTGGCCCTGGGTAGGGGACAGTTCCTCTTCCCGCCAGCAGAGGGCCACACTGGCAAGATGGTCCCTTCAAGCTTTCTCTGCAGGCTTGTGCAGGGTCAAATGGCCTCGCGTTGCAATCTTTTTTTTTTTTGAGTCGGAGTCTCACTCCGTCGCCCAGGCTGGAGGGCAGTGGCTGCTCCCAGCCACCGCAGCCTGGACTTGCTGAGTTCAGGCAATCCTTCCGCTTCTGCCTTCCAAGTAGCTGGAACTACAGGCGTGCACCACCACGCCTGGTTAGTTTTTGTGATTTATTGTAGAGACGAGGGCTCATCAAGTTGCCTGGGCTGGTGTCGAACCCACTGGTTCAGGCAATTCAGCAGACATGGCCGGGCTCGGTGGCTCAGTCTGTAATCCCAGCACTTCCACTCGAATGATCCGTCTTTTCTCGATGGTGTCGGCTGTTTCTTGACTGTGCTCAGCAGGGCCTTCCCCCTCTGATCTAAGAGGATTTTCTTTCTGCACTCTCTTTCTTCCTGAGCCCGCGACTTTGTGTGTTGTATTTACGTCTCTGACCCTCCTGGAATGGTATTGGCGGTACTGAGTGGGGCAGCCATCCAGCCTGATTCTTGGCTGGTGGCCGCCAGGTGACCTGTGTTCTCTGGGGCCCAGCTGGGAGGCGGACACCACGGGATAGCTGGCTCAGACTCAGGCTCATGACTGGGGACCCGGATGACAGGGAACTGGCCAGCAGGAGGGGGTGGAGAGGACTCCAGGGCGCAGCAGGCCGAGGCAGGGCACCCTGGCAAGGGCACGTGGCCATGGATCTCTGACGGCCGCCACGTCAAGCAGCACTGTGCTGGTGGAACTTGCTGGAAGCTTATCCATGGTGGTGTTGAGAAAACCATCTTGCCTGGACTTTCTGCAGAGAAGGAACAAAGAGGGGGTTCTGGACAGAATCTTACAGTTTGCTTTGGGAGGCGGGAATGAAAAACAGCCTGGTTCAGTCAAGTTTATGGGCAGATGGTGAAACAGGACCCCATAGGCCTGGGACTTGGACAGCTGCAGGAGGCTTTTTTTTTTTTTTTTTTGGT